TAATGCTGTAAATAAGTTTAGCATGGAGACATAAAAGTGTTTTGGCTTCTCTCGGGGTCCGGCCATTAAGCAGAGAGAGGGGGAGGATTTTTGTATGTTCGGATGTTTGAAAGGATGAATTCAGTTTTGAATTATATATTTGGACTTGAAAAAGGATTGAGATAAGGCAGAATTGTGGAAAATTATAAAGAAATCATGCCATTCCTTCTTCGTGTAAAATTTTGGCCTAGGCATAAAAATAGGGAGTGAACTAAATTAGTTAATTGTTATGAAATTTGAGTTGAATTGTGCTAGGATAGGTGTAAAATGAAGGGTACGAAACTAATTGTACAAAAAAAAAAAAAAACTAGAAGAAAATCTAAGAAGAAAGGAAAACTTAATTTGGTCCCCTCAAATACCATAATAATTCTATTGAATTGTCCCCCCGGGGGGGGTGTGGGGTGGGGTGCGGGCTCATGAACAAATCATCAAAAATTAAGCAAAAACAATAAAGAGCGAATATACTATAAAAACTAATGGAATAAAATAAGATAAGAATAAAAAAAAGTGCAATTAAATAATGACAATAATTGAATAAAAAATAAATAAATAAAATATTAAGGGATGAAATTGAAAAAAAAAATAAGAAAAGTATAAAAAAGAACAATTAAAAGAATGAGGACCAAAATTAAATATAAAATAAATAAAATAAAATGTTGAGAGACAAAATTGAAAAGAAAAAAAATCAAGAAAAGAATAAAAAATAGCAATAAAAAAAATGAATACCATGTTTGATATAAAAATTAAATATAACCAAATAAAAAGTGATGAAATTGAAAAAAAAAATAAAAAAAAATCCAAAACAAATAAAAAAATAAAAAAAATAGGACTATAATTAAAAGAAAAATAAATAGAAAAACAAATCTAAATTTTACCCGGCCCATTATAGATTTCAAAAAAATAAAAAAAAAACTTCAACATTGTCATGAATTTCACTACACTTGCCTACTCATTAGCTACCTCTCATGCTTCTAACAATAAAGGAGCGTGGGATTAGTCGTGGTGTGCGAAAGCTGGCCCACACATCCACGTTAATCTAAAAAAAAAAAACAATAAAGGAGCTGAGGCATTTTACCTATCACACACATCATTTAAAGAGTAATAAAATTATTCTATTATTAGTTGGGTTTTTTTATTATTAAAAAAATGATTTACCCTTAATTCAAAAAACAATAAAAAAATTATTATAAAATAACTAAAATATCGCTCGGGCCTCCTTCAAATTTCTAAAACCATCATGAAATGATTAAAATATCTCTTTAAGCCTCTTTTAAATTTTTTAAATTGAACAGTTATGAAGTGATATTATTATTTAAAAAAAAATGATACAAAAGTCCCTTTTAACCTTTTATATTTGTGAGCTTTTAAAAAATATTTATATCTTTTAACTGTAAAAAAATATTGGCATATCATTATAACTTCAATTAATCTTATAATGATAAATAAATTCCATCATTTCACCCCAAAAATACAAAGACATCATTATGTTATAAGAACTCATGCTGTAATGAGTTTTGCTGCATCATAATTAGATATCTTTGAGATTCTATAACGGTTTAAAGTATTTTTTATTTAAAAATATATTAAAATATTTTTTTAAAAAAATTATTTTTAATATTAACATATCAAAATAATTTAAAAATATAAAAAATTATTTTAAATAATTTTTTTAAAATTTTTAAAAATATAATTTATACTGTAAATACTCCCTTAGTTTAGCCTTATAGCAAAACACTGATGGTGTTCGTTGTTTTTTAAATGACTATAGCAAATATTATATTCTTGGCCTACATGTACCATAAATCAGATGAATTTATTTTAAACATAAAAAAGGTATTGTTAACAATTTTTTCCAGCATAAAAAAATAATTTAATTATAAATTAAAATATAATGCACATTAAATGATAATATATTTTTTAAAATATTATTAAAATTAAAAAAATATCAATTAAAAAAATAACTCAAGTCAACCTAGTTAAACTTGTAGAACTTGTAACATTGATCATAAGAACAAAATAACCCTATAAAAAAAGAAATTAAAAAATAATTACGAAACTTAATTCCTATCCAACCCAATATTAAAGGATGAAAAAATTTCTATTAAAAAAAAAACTTGATTTAACCCAAGTTAATTCATCAAACCCATGACATAAGTTGTAAGAATGAGATAACTCCATAGAAAGTAGAAAAACATTACAGAGCCCAAATCCAATAAAATGCTGGAAGATAAAAAAGAAAAATATCAATTAAAAATGTCGCACGTATGCAGCATTGTGATGATCATCCACCCTCAGGGTTGATGTAAGTCTATCTAGCAAATATATGGAGATAATAAATTCTTGTCTTTTATTAATGAAAAATTAAAATGAGAGTCGTCACCTAGTATTCTAGTTATTAGGAACCCTAATTGGTTTCAGAGATTAGATACAGATATTAGTTGCGTAAATGGAATGTATTAGTACCTCAACTACATCCTACCTAAGATAAACTATATTGTTTTGTTATCTGATAAAATCTAAGGTTTTTTTGTGGTTTATAATTGTCGGTCTGTCTACAATTTAAGAAAAGTCCTTATCTGCAAGGAGATCCTTATCTTATCGGGTATAAACCTAATTGCTTGATGTTGTTAAATAAAATATCTTTTTAATATTGGGAATACATCTTACATATATATTCATAATCCCTAATAATAAAAAAAATATATTTTTTTAGAATTTTTAAAATATTGATCAAATACTCGTGATTTTAATAAACTAGTTATTAAAGTCAAAATATATGCTAAAACATATTTTTTTTGAAGTTTTCGTTATTGTGTGAAACTACAATATGATTTTTAGCTTTAATAGACTTGGCCATCTGCATAAAACAAAAATATTTTTTTATGTTTTAATGAAAACCGAGTATTTTAATATTAGATTCAATATCAAGCAAAATTTAGTAGAAAAATACAAAGGAAATTACAATTTTTTTTTTAAAAAAAAATTTAGAATTGGACCGGACCTAGCCCATTAAACAATGGATCTCTCAACTGTTCACATACAACATGAATAGTGAAGAAAAAGATATAGAAAAAGAAGAAGAAGAAGGAGGTGGAAGAGGAGGAGGAAGCTGTCCTCTGGCTATTCACAGTGCTGCTGTTGACGGTGGAGGTTGCAGAATGTCGCTTTTAGTAGCGATAGAGATACTGGAGATGACCGTTCTCACCATTTCTTTCCCTGCGTTTTTTCTCTATATTTTCCTTCTTTGCTTCTTGTTTCTTCTTGTTTTTTCTCTATTCATTCTCTCCTCTTTTCTTTCGTTTTTTTTCCTCTGTTTTCCTTTTCCTTCTCCTTTGTTTTTTTTTTTCACCTCTCAGTTTTTTTCTCTTTTTTTTTTTTTGCTCTCTCTTCCCCTATATTTATAGACAAAAATAGGGAAAAGAGAGGCCTACTATCGCTGCCGAGTCGTGGTGCAGGGGTAGGGTGGCCGAGGCGGCTACTGTGCAACTATCCTTGAACCGCT